GGCGAGCAGCGAGCGGTACGGCAGAAAAGGGGCAGAAATCAGTGGTGCAGCTCGGAACCGCTGCGGACCGGTGCCAGATCTCGTGTGGGCTTTCTCTCTGACAGACTGAAATAACTGAAAGCTTGTTTGTTAATTAGGGAAAATCGGTACCCGGCTCCTTTAAAGGTCCCCTACTAGCGAAGGGGGTGGAGAAGAGCGAAGACCGGTGTCTTTTTAACCTTGCTGAAGGACGCAGCAGTATTTATTGACGTATGCAAATAACCAGGGGGAGGAGGTGGAGGAGGAGGAGGGTGCTTGGAAAAACAGGAACCAGAATCAGTTTCTCATTGCAGGGTGAGAGCTCTGAGTTCCGGTGTAAGAGAAAAGAGACGTGGCGAAATTGCTGTATATCTCTGCCCTATAAGCACATCTCTCATTTAGACTGAAGGGAAACAAGGCATCAAAAAGGGTGAAGCATCTTAAAAAATATTTTAAAGGCAATCTAGGACGATCAAAGGTTACATATTCCTAAATGGGGGAGGGGGAAGATGACGGGTTTACCTTGCAACTAGCTGTAGCATAGCACTAGCAACAGGACGAGATTTTTTGGCCGGCAAATGATTAAAACAGCCTGGTTTGTGGTATGAATGACAATGTTAATAATCTGTCTTTGTGGTTTTTTCCCCTACTGTTTCAGCTGCGCAAACCATGCAGGATGATTTACTGATGGACAAAAGCAAAGCCCAGCCCCAGCAGCAGCGGCAGCAACAGCAGCAGCAAGATCCAAACTCAGCAGAAGCCCCCTCTACGCCCATCTCGTCGGAGACACCCAAACCAGAAGACAACAGTTCAGTGACTAGTATCGGCACATCGGCTCCTTCCCAAAATAGCAAGGAGAAGATGCAGATGGAGTCTCCCATTTTGCCTGGCTTGAGCTTTCACCAGCCTCAACAAGAACCTGCAGCCGGCACCTCCTTGTCTCCCTCCTTCGGCAGCACCTGGTCTACAGGGACCACAAACACGGTGGATGATAGCTTTTTCCAAGGGATTACTCCAGTCAATGGGACAATGCTTTTCCAGAATTTTCCACACCATGTCAACCCTGTATTTGGTGGCACTTTCTCTCCTCAAATTGGCCTAGCTCAGACTCAACACCACCAACATCAGCAACAGCAGCAGCAAGCTCAGCAGCAGCAGCAGCGGAGGTCACCTGTAAGCCCTAATCAGGCACCTTTTGCCCAGAGAAATGCTGCTTACAGCCATCAGCCCATCATGACCAGCAAACCGTCTTCCTCCTCTGCCTCCTCTTCTTCCTCCTCCAGCTGGAATAACCATCAAAATGCAGCTTGGAGTACACCTTCCAACCCTTGGGGTGGGCTGCAGGCTGGTAGGGACCCTCGAAGGGCAGTTGGAGTCGGGGTCGGTGTGGGAGTGGGGGTTGGCGTACCCTCTCCCCTCAATCCCATTTCACCCCTTAAAAAACCATTCTCCAGCAATGTCATTGCCCCTCCGAAGTTCCCACGGGCTGCACCCTTAACCCCCAAATCCTGGATGGAAGACAACGCGTTCAGGACGGACAATGGCAACAATCTGTTGCCTTTTCAGGTAAATGACTACATGCATCTTCTACGTGGTAGCAGCCATCGCAAAGTTGTATTTTTTGCAGGAATGTATTTCATGTTACTGTTCTATCTGAGAGGCACCTCCATAACTCGTATTTGCATTGAATAGTCACCTTGTATGAAAGAAGTGGGGTTACTCCTAGGGGTGCGTACCAGGTTCCAAAGATTCCAAATTCTGGCTTAAGGTTTACAGTCTTACTTTTCTTGTAACTTATTCTTAAATACAACAGGGCTTTTTGGGGATTTTTTTTAGCATCTGAAAGGTAGTAACCTTCCTTCATGAAAAACAGGTTTGGCAGACTACGTTCCCTTGGTGCTGCGTGTTACGATTTTTATTTTTTTTAATATTCTCTCAGATGTGAGAAACAGGAGACATTAAAATTGCTGGCTTCAGTTTTCTAACTGGCATGTTAATTTCAACCAAAAATGCTTCTTGACCTGAAATCTAGTTAATTATTTTATCATCGTTGAAATAACTAATTGTCCTTATGTTGTGGTGGGATTTAACGGGGAGTCCGTTTGTGTGAGGTATACATATGAAAAGCTGTATACCTCTGATATGTACACCCTGCTGTTATATTCACAGTGGACGTTTTGAATACATCTAGAAGCAGCGTGGGTGTGTATGGAAAGAGGGGCGTATCTGTCCTTTCCAGCAAGGAAATGCCTAATACAATTGACATGATTTAGAAATGGCAGGGAGGTATTGTATAAAATAAACCATTTTATGCTGTTCAAAATATTTGCAGAGAAAAGAGACAATAGGACACGACCTTCAGAGCCATATTGCAATGGAGTCTATTTACTAGCTACATAGCTCTGAAATATTTAAAGCTGCAGTGCCCTTCACTGTTTTTTTTATCTATGACGACAAAGCAGATCAATTGCAGCTGAAACTGGGCCACATAGAAGATTTGCAATTTTAATGCAGAATGAAACCTGTCATGGTGTGAAATCCATTTTAAGCTGAAAAAAGCAGAGCATGCACTTGTGGTTATACCTATGGAAGGTGAAATGAATCTCATATTTCTTCTAGGTTAGCTTTTTTAGTCGCAGACAAATCGAAATTTTCTGTTTTGAAATACAGTGAAATCATTCACATATGCTTTCTTTTTACGTGATCACTTTCTCAACAAAGTGTGAACTCTCAAACATTTTAAACTTACCAGTATGGTAAGAATAGTATCTAGATTGACAATATTATAAACAAAATTAAAAAAACCCAAACAAACAACAAAAAACCCCCAAACAAACACTCTCTGCCCCCTTCACTTTCAGAGATCATTGAAGTAAAATACATGCATTCCTGTGCACTTTCCAGTCCCATTCAAAGAGGGCACCTTATAGTCAGCCCTGAAATTTCATTTTGCTGCTTCATTCTGTTTAAAGGGAGAGTTGCTAATTTTTTATTGGCTACTCTCAATGAAGGCGGAGTGGCGTCTGGTGAACTGCTGGTCAGTGTCTCTGTGGCACTGAGGTCTGGAGAAACATTGTACTTTACACACAGTATGCCTGGTGAAACTTGTATGTTACGTGAGCACAGCAACACAAAAGCTAATGGATATAGCTCCCAGTCATTTTTTAGGAGTGCAAAATGTCTTTCACCTTGCAATTATTCTTTTATTTAAATTGTCTACATGTAAGACATTATAAATTCTGGTAAATTTTAATTAGTAAGGAAAGCAACAATAAATGGTCTTATTTCTGTTGTTTGGTTAGTGAGATACCTCTTAAATGAATACACAACTTTATTATTGTGACTATAAATTGTCACAAATTAAACTAGCAGGTATTTAGTCATCACTAGGGAAAAAAAAAGGCAGATAAATGTGTTTAAAGAAAAGTTCCTTTGATTTTAAAATTAAGGTTTTGGAAAGCTAAGTTATTAGCCAACTTGTTTTTTTCACTGTGAATTTAACCTGGTATTTTCCTGTACAACTTAAAGTAAATACTTAGACTACTCTCAGGACCAGCTGGAATAACAGCCCGATTCCAGAGACTCAGAGAACTTGTATTTTTTTTCCTATTAGGCTCTTTTTAATACAAGTTGCTGAATTTTGTGTACAAGACTGTAATCTGGGTTAGTGTTGATTGCTCCTGTACTTAACAAATTGCCAAAGCCTTGAAGCCATACTATTGATAGGAAGTAACTGTGTAGTTACATTGAGAAAAATGAAACTCAGCTTCATATAAGAGTTTAAGATTTGCTGCCTGGGTTCTGGTTGCCTTTTTTTCTTCTTTTTATTCCTTCCCACATCACCACTACCCCACCCCCATCCCTCCAGAAATTGGGCAATATGTTGACACAGTAAGTTCTGCTTGTCAGCACTATCAAGTAATTCTGGCAGGTTTATCCATGTACATCTGCCACCCTTCGTAACTGAGCATTTTTGATCTGCTTCAGAAATGCCTTTCAGTAAACTTGCTAGCAACACGTTAATGCACATTAGCAAGTTCTTTGTGCTAACCTGTTCTTTTCTCTTATGTTGAGATTATAAGACTTTAAAATTTGTGATTTATTTTTAATTAATTCCTTAATAAGATATGAAGCTCAAGATGTTCTAAGTAAAAAGAAAAATATTATGTTCACTGTTTGAATTAACATCAGTGGTACCTATTTTAAATTCAGGTCTTTGCAGTGATCAAAAATTTGAAGCAAAAAACTTCTATAATCAGGTTTGTGTTCTGAGTCTGTAGTATCTGAAGATAGCTGATATTCAGCTACTGATATGTCTAGTTCTAGTAAAAAATGTTGAATTTGAAAATATTTCTTTTAAGAACTTGTATATAAAGCAATATGCTAGACATCATCTTCCTCAAATTTGAGTAATACATTAGTGCACCTTGTTGTGTCTAAACCATTCAGCAACTGTCCCAAGGAGTTGTGCTGCAGAACATATCAGAACATCCAAATATTGATTGGTAGGAATTCTCTTGGTGTCTGCCTTGTAATTGGTGTTGGAAGGCAGCTAAAAAGCTTTGGAGGAGACTGTTTTCATATACTTACTGAGGAAAATTGGTTGCATTGTATTAAAAAAATTTTGAAGACACAAATATGATGGTTGAAAGGGAAAAGAAAATAATGGAATTCAGTCTGGAATTAAATGTAATATAGCAAATAAGAGTTGGAGATAAGATCACAGGAATGGATGTAGAACAAGGCCAGATATGAAATACAGAAATGTGGATCGTTTTCTCTCTGAATAGCCTTTAGCTTCTAAGTGGTTCAGGTGAAGGTCTTCTGTTGTGATTGTCATGTGACAAGCAGTGGTGTTGTGCCATTATGGTAGGTGATTCTCATTTCTGGCATTTGAGGCTGGCATTAACAGATTTCCCTGAGACCTGGGCAACGGTTGAGTTCCTTTTTGCAGCAGAGTGGTGAGACTTAAAGAGAGCTCTTGTCGTCTCGTGCTTCTGAGCTGCTCCCAGAATTGTCTATTCCTTCACTTCTCTTGGGTAACTGGTGTCTTGCTTTTGGCCATATGGAGATATTGGGACACAGCTTGTGGGGTTAGGAAAATTGATAGTGCCTGAAATAGACCCTTGGAAGTATGGATAAGAAATTCTCTTTACAGTGAAGAAGATAGAGAAGGAATTAAATGTTTGGAGACGAATATGCTGGTTAAGCAAGTCTAGCCTGTGGATTTTTAATAACATCAACACTATCACAACTTCCAACAAATTGTTCAAATTTTCCTGCTTTCTGAGTAATGTTCTTTAGAAACAATAAAAAATGTGCAACTGCAAGTTTTAGATTTAAAAAATTCATAGCAATTTGGTGCTCTGAGAATTCTGGCGTATATCAAGTCATTCTTGGCAGCTTTATATATCAGTACTTATCAGTACTTCTCCAGCAGAAATAAATAAGGTGGTGTTTATTGTGGGTAAAGATAGCTTTAACATGCTGTCTGTTGCAGTGAGGCTGAGAGAAGTTTTTCTGGGGGAGGTGTTTTGGTATTTGTTTTTTTCCCCTGATTGGTTTTAATAGGAATTAGTCTGGACACAGATAAAATTATAAGCTAAATTTAGAAATTATTTATAACTTCAGTATTTCATACTTAAACAAAATGCAAATCCAAACATGCAGTGAGTTTGCATATGGATATATATGCATAAATACATATTTGTATGGATACATATTTATACATTTACATATACACTAATTAGTAATACCTAGCAGGCACAAGTTCTTTGTCATGTGTTCTCTAAACATGCTGTAGTTGTTTGAGTGAAATGAAGGACAAGGGAATGGCCACTGCATAATGTTTATAATTCCATTGTGACTTTTGGTTGATGATTAATAGACAGCTCCTTAAGAAGCTGCTTTCTTTAAACATTTGAAGTTCTTCAGACCTGTGATATTAGCCCACACATAGCTTTCTCCATGCCAACACAGTTTGATACTCAAAATAAATTATGTGCATACGCACACATACATATCAATATACACACATATGCAGTAAACTAATGCAGAATAATTTTTGTCTTCAAGTCCTAGGGAAAAGAATATTAAATAGACTATTAACTTCAAGTTTATAATGTTTGTGCTAACTTCTTCACAGGCAATGAATTGGCTGTAGCTTATTTGCCATAGTTTTGTTTCTTAACCCTGCAGTGACCTGAAATGCATGGTAGGATATCTCATATATACATATATGTGTGTGTGTGTATATTAAAAATAATGACTGAATTAAACTGATCTCAAACATTGGAAATTTTATAAGTAACAAATAGACTTTTATATTTATGAGTAAAGGAGTTTTACTGGCTAATATACTGTAGTGTAATTTTGAAATCTTTGTTTAAATCTAGATTTTTTTTTTCTTTTGCAAGTAGTAATAGTTGTATGCAATAAGTCTATTTGAAGATTAATTTTTAAAACACTATGTTTCTTTATTCTAAATTTGGCATTCTGAGCTCTGGCTTCTTGACAGCTTAGTAGGTAACCGTGTTTAGTAGGGTTACTGGTATCTTGAAAACTAT